ATATATACAACCTGTGGAAACCACAAAGATTGAAAATATATTTTATAATAAATGTTTAGAAAATTCTAAAAATTGTTTATCAATTATAATATTCAAATTTATTTCTATAAACGTCTCTTTTTGGAATCGTGGATAACTTTTTAATAGCTTAAATCAATTCATTGTATATATACTATGTTTTCTTTTAGGAGAGTAATATAATGTTTTGTTTTGGAGAAATATGTCTTTCGCCGCATAAAAAATAATTGTTTAAAACTACAAAGGCAAGTAAATTTTGTTAACAAAAGAAAAAAAAGTATATATATATATATATATATATATATATATATAAACAATTATTATACAAAATTCACTGACAAATAACCAATTGAAAAACCCTTGCCCAGATCCGGTCTGTTGCAAATACAAATCTGATCCGCTTCCACCTAATTCACTGTCAAAGTACCAACATACATAGATAAGAGATGAGCAACTAATGACACATACACAACTATAGTAATAAAAAATGGATATAACTATGTCGTCATAAGCAAATAATCATTTTGAGAGCAATGAGTCAATGATTAAGCATCTTAATATAGCTAATGAAATGAGGATATCAAAGTACCAATGACTCCAAATTAGGCAATGTTTAAGAAATTCTTTAAAAAAATGTGTATGTTTAACTAAAAACTTGTTAAATAGTTTGTCAATATCATAATGTTGTCAAAACAAAATATTGAAGCATAACTGTTAATGGAAAAACGTGTATGAAGGATGTTAGTATGTATCCTCCACAAGAATTTAATCACAATTCATAACGGAAGAAATACAATATTTGACCCTATAAGCAAAGCATATTATTCAAAATACTTTACTACAACCTGGTGTCGAAACACTCTACTCTGAGTGACAGGTTCGATGCACCATAAACTTCCCAGGAGCAAGAAAAAGAATGTAATAACTACCACTCAGGTTTCAACCCCGAGATCTAAAATAAAAGTCAAGATGTAACTTGACTCTTTGTTTGTTTCGCAAATAAAATGTATTTTTTAAAGTAGAAAATATTATACCCATTTTAATTTAGTGTATGTTAAACTATAAGGTATTAATTGCCAAAAAAAACATGTAAAGTTAACTACCCTTTTGTGGGTTAATCACAATGGAAACCATACCCTTACATATTGCAATCTTCAAATGCAGAAATTGTGCCTAGACTCATTTTGCAGATACACCAGGTTCCAAATTGCACTAAAGCATAGCAAAAAATCATGGGTTCAAACAAACAAATAATCACAACCTTGAAATTAAATATAAGCAAATCAAGAACCAAATTCTTACCATGTTTGAAGCATATAATAGATTTTGCAATAAATCATTTGTGATCCAGATTCAGCCCGTCATCTTCCTAAAGCAACAAAAAAAAACATATATTTTAGCTCATTATTGAGAGAAAAATCTATAATTTGC